TTGACAGTGCGGAAAACAAGGCAACCGCTCCTGTGCTCAGGGCCCCAAGCATTTACTTACTTGAAATAGTTTAAACCGAGATTCACACTCCTTGTTGAGACAAGGGGATATAAGTTCCAGCCCTAGCTTCAAACCAGCGTCAATTCTGACAAATCTTAGCGTCAGAGATAGTACTGATACTACTTAGACTCGGCTACTTCGATGGTCAGTAGTAGTAGCAAAAGTAGTAGCCGTATCAGTTTCGGCGTCCTTGGGCCTGTCTTCACACCTACTATGGGTGAGTGACGGTAGATAGTACAGTAGTACCCGCGCAAAGCCTTCTGTCACTTAAGACTAAATTAGGCGGTGTTGGCTCACATTTAATAAAGCAGCCTACGCCGGACCCTGTTTAGTCTTCGAGACTCCGGGAGAAGGTAAAGAGTGCGGAGCCGCTAATTACGTCCGCCATCACTTTAAATCTAACCCCTGAGACCGTTACCTTCTGTACCTTACCTTACATTCTGTTGGTGCACTTGAAATCGATGGTCGAACACACAAACATTGCCCTGAAATAGTTAAAAGATGCCAAGATGTAGAATATTATGCTGAAGCTAGCATTTGGAGCAGAACCCAGACACAGTAAGCCTACGCAAACAGGTCTTCTGCGGGCAGAAAAATATCCCCGATGCTTCGCAGTGGTCATGAGCCAAGGCCAACTAGCCAACAGAATAATTCTTTTTTTCTGTCTCCAACTTCCTCGCCGGCACTGATTGGATAACTTTAACTATAATTTAGTTCATCTCAGTGACCTAGCTTAACTATGTGACTTCGATATATATAGCATATTTCCTTTAACATATTATGCTAAGCATAGTCTGATGGAATTTTTCCTGATAAATGCCAAATAATTACTCAGCTCTTGCTGCAGGCACATCATAAATTCCATTAACTAGAAATTAGTTTTGGCAAACATATTCTCGGCAAATCCTTATCAGACCAGTTACTTTGCAAAACAATTAAATTTTAAACCTGTAGAAAAATCAATAATTGCCTGACATGGGCGCCGATTGGCCACTGGTCTGCGCCAGTAGGCGAGATCGGCGTGTTTGGTTAGGTTGTGGGTTTTGGTCAGGGGTCAGGTGCATAGAGTGATCACTGTAATTTGTATGGAGCAAGCGATTGTCAGTGGTAGGTGGGGACGATATGGGATCGTCACCTGATGTCGGTGCCGGCCACGGAAGGGAAAGGGCTTGCGTTAGCGTCTTCTGCCAACACAGCCCTGGATTCCTTAGCCGTATAACCGCTAGTGACAGTCGCTCGCTCCATACAAATGACATTGCTCACTCTATGCATCTGACTCCTGACCCCTGACCAAAACCTAACCAAACACGCCAAT